AAAACTTTTCCTTCGCTTCGCATTTCCTGCAAATTTTATCATTGGTCAGCGCCTAACTTCCCGCTTTGAAGAGATAAGAGTAACTTGGTGGGCTTGCTATCGTTTGTTCAGATCTTGTATAGGTATTAGCATAGCTTCCAAAAGAGGTCTTTCTTTGACGAGTCTTTCGGTCTGTCGCCAATACTGCCAGTGTAATACGGAACCAAGCAAAGTTCTACACGCGTGTCAATAAATAGTTTATTCATAGCTGCTCTTTACTCTGTCATACTTCTTGGCCATATTATTGGGCGATAAATAAAGCATTTATAGCAGTTGAACTGTTACTTATTACTTCTGCGTGGCAAGTGCTGCAATAGTCCGGCAGTTTGTAGGATTAACTACGATCGAGCTTCGACCAAATCACTGTCGCACCTACATCCTTGTCCTTCTTTGAACCATGTATGCAAACATTCACCCAGAGCGCCCTTCTCATTTCTCACGCCAGCCTTCGACTTTTCCGAAGGCTCCGAAATTCGTCTCAAGCGGAGGTTCGACAAACTATACCGTAGCTTTAAGCCTGGTGGTAGTCTAGTATGCTATCTTATTGGCAGACAGATTGTAAGTACTTTGCTAGGTGGTTAAGAATTGGTAAACTGTTTAAGGATACCATTGAGGATCTGTATAGCGGCGAATTCTTGAGTCCAAATTACATTTGTTCGTCTATGACTCTCTTGCAACAATAAAAAGCTCAACTTCCCTTCAGTCCAACGCCCAGCTGTTTAGCTTATTTCGTGAGTTATTTGCAGTGTTATACATATATGTACTTACTTTATTCTAAAGAGAAAAGGGTATACTAAGATAAGATAAGATTACTTGCTGTAGTACTTGCAGCTGAAGAAATTATCGATAAACCGAGCCAGGCTATGAAGCGCGGTCTCAGCGAACTAGCTCTTTTGATAGGTAGGTTGCTAATTAGACAGAATTCGACAGCAAATTGTAAAAGACAGTACAAGCTATTATCTCTATGGATTTAGGCGCAAAGGAAATCCTATCCTTCGGATACTGCGTATTCGTGTGTGAAGCCTTTCTAGCTTTCGGATTTAAAACACAACCCAGACATCCCTCTACGGTCTCGGAAAAAATATTCGAAACCCGGGAAGCTTCCAGATCCGGTGCTTTTAATTACATCTGGCCCTGCAGCTTTATGGGGTTTAAAGTTTTCTTTTATCCTTTCTGGGAAGTGCGATTCCAGAGGATGAAATATAAATAGTATGAACAATAAATTTGCAAAGTGCTTCGAAACCTCGAGACCTTTAAAGCTTTGACTGCAACTTTAAAATTTGTTTGAAATATTTCTTCGAAAGCTGAACTTTTCGTTTTTACGCCATTAAAACTGGTTAATTTTTATATATCGCGTCCTTAACGAGCTTACCCCAAATTCACTACAAATTGCATGCCGCTTAACGTACTATTAGCTGCGGCACATTACTCATACGCCACCGGTTATCTAACCACCATTTGGCAAACATTAAAATACGTTCGTTGAGCTGCGAAAAATTGAAAGGCCTGGTTGCAACTAAAGTTTAATTTTTTTCGACAAAAAAGTAACCAACAAAGACGAAAAAAAAAAATCAAAAAATCGAAAATGAAATAGAAAATTCGAAAGGAGTGTCTGTGGTCCAATCGCCAGCAGCGGCGGCCAGCTAGCAACCGACCATTACAAAATCAAAAATAACAACTCGAACAGCGAGTGCATGCGCAGTAAACAAGTGAAAAAGTAACGCCAGCCGTTGCTTACAGTGATATTTTTTCTGTGCATTTGGTGCATTTGTGTAACTGTATGAGTGACTAGTGACAAATACAAAAGCAAAAAAAAAAAAAAAAAAATGTAAACTAAATAGCAAACTAGAAGTTACAGTTGTGGCAGTTGGACATAGTTAGTGGCAATAAAATCGGTTTTTTAACTTCCACACAAAGCGAGTGGCGTCGCGATGGTGGAGCCTTATTTGTTACGAATAGCTGTGACGTTTACGCGTGCGTGTGCGTTTAAATGCACTCGCAGCAGGAATTTCCAGTGGCTTACGCACGTTTAACTATTAAAATGATGACGCGAATGTTGAATGTTTGAAATACATAAATGCATGCGCACATATGTATGTATGTATGTATGTACATAAATGCAAGCCTATTTACTATGTACGTGTTTGAAATTGCATATGTGTGCATTTTAATTACCACTCGTTACTACTTTTTGTATCTTTTTTCATTATTTTCTTTACAAATATGTATTTATCAATTTGTTTTCTTGCTCGTTCGTGCGCTCGATAAGGAAATCCGCATGTTCGCCATAAATTGTCTAACCAGTGCGAGACAAGTATTACGAGATTGCCAACATTTCCAACTTTTGCTGCTGCAGTTAACGCGAAAAATGCCACCACCGCATGGTTTAAGAGCTTTGTTGTTATTTTTGTAGTTAGTGGCTTGTTTGTTTGATTGCTTTGATTTTCTGGTTTTCCACAGCATCCCGTTGTTTTGTGTTTTTTTTTTCTACATTGTAGTAGATTTATTATTACAAAAGTGACAGCAAACCACAAGAAATCGATACAATACTTATAATAGCAGTTAACAAATACCGTTAATTAAAATCCATACATTTAATTGTAATGCGAGCAACGTAAGCCGACGCCAAGCGTATAGCAGCAGATAAAAACAACAACAACAA